GCTCTTCCATGAGTCCTAAAATCTTCACCTGAGGACTGCCAGGGGAAAGGAAGCACCCTGCCCAAAGCCTGGTGTTCTTGGGAAGGGGGTGTCAGTGGGGCGACTCTCTGGAGATGCATAGGTTCTCTACAATACTTCTGACTCTTCTCTGTGCTGACATACTGGCACCGTGCACATGTTCTTTTTTCCCTGTCCATTCTGCACCATAACCCACCACACCTTTCCTTCCCTAACCATCTTCAGGCAAAGTTCATCCAGGCCCTGTCCATCGTCAAGCAACTACTTATCTCCATGCTTTCTCAGGTCTCCTGCTCCTTCAGAGGTATCTCTCTCTCTCTCTCTCTCTCTCTCTCTCTCTCTCTCTCTCTCTCGGAAGAAAAAATTGCTTTAATTCATATAGTTTGGGATGCCAGAAATTGACTCTGGATGTTGGAAATGTTCTAATAATTTGAAACTCAGCTTCCTTCCCTCCATGGTTCCCATAGGAGAAAAATCAGGCCCTACTCTTCTTCCATGAGACCTAGAGTCTTCCCTTGGGAACTGCCAGGGAAAGCGCCATGTCCAAAGCCTGGTGCTCGGGGGAAGGAAGGGTCAGCTGGGGTCTCTCTGGGGGGTCACAAGGTCTCTACTAAGAATCAGATATCTCAGTGCTGACACCCTTACAGTGTGCAAATTTAATTCTCTACCTGTCCATTCTGCACACCAGCCCACCATACCCTTCCTTCTCCAACCAATTGTAAGGTGTCCCTCACACAGCTGTCCCTCACATAAACACATCAATCCCTTTTGTAACAACAGAGAAACAAACCTATGCTCCACCAGATTCACAAAGTCCAAAGAATTGCCAGGTACTGAAGGCTCACCTGGGTATTCCAAACTATTCTACTAGTCGACACCGGGAAGACTGAAGATAAAGCCAGCCTGGGAAGACTCCATGTCTTACCAACCAGAAAATTTCAGGCCTAGAGGTGTGACTCAAGAGGTAGAACACCAGCCAGAAACAAACAAACTGAAAGAGAAAGTGAGAGCGAGAGACAGACACAGGGATAGAGAGACAGAAAGAAACAGGTGAAACAGAGACAAAGACAGATTCAGGAGGAAGAAGGGAGTGAAATGGAATGGGAAAGGGAGAAGAGGGGAAAGATTAGAAGGGAAAGAGAAGAGGAGAAAGGGAGGGAGTAGGAATAAAGGAGGTAAGGGAAATGGTAGAGGGGAGAGAGCAAAGAAAGGCCAGAGATGGAAAGGAGACTCAGAGAGAAAGAGAAGTATGGAGTTAAGCCATTGTACCACCACACACTCACAAATGGATACAAACAACAAACAAAAAGGCAATAAAAGAAAAAGCATTGAAAATCATAGTACTTCCCTCCCCACCCACCCTCTTTACTGAACAATGGCCCATCTGGAGTTCAGGACTCCTTATCTCACTACTCTCAGGTCTCCTTCAGCATCAGTTTCAACCCTGTCTATCACCAAGATGCCCATCTTTTGCCCACTTTTGGTCCTCACTGCTTCTCTCACCAGAAACCCATCTCATTCTTTGAGAAGAGCTCTGCTCTCTAAATACCCCTGAGCTGCATCACTAATCTACCAGAAGCCCCAGCCTCCCTTCTGCAAATCTCATCATTATGCAGTGCAGGCTCAGCCCTCTGAGCCCAGTCCACTCATAGAAAAGTCCAGGTGTGCCCAATTCCTCCTATCCAACACTTGTCACCCAAGGGTAGCATCAGCCCTCAGCACTGCCTTGCTGTGAAATCTAATGCCCTGGCTGCACCAAAATAAATAGCAGTGGTGAAGGCTCACATCCAATCTCACTGGATTTCTGTTCCTGTGGGAATGTAGTCAGCCCAAGCAGGGTCCATCCACAGGCACCATTATATAGCAATGCTTTCTCAGGTCTCCTGTTCCTTCACATAATTCACCACCTTTAGCTGAACTAAAGGGAATATATTTTCTTTTTGGGGGGGGGGTCCAGTCATGGGGCCTGAACTCTGGATCTGGGTGCTGTCCCTCAGCTCTTCAGCTCAAGGCTAGTGCTCTACCACTTGAGCCACAGCACCACTTCCAGCTTTTTTCTTTTTGCTTATGTGGTGCTGAGGAATCGAACCCAGGGCCTCATGCATGCAAGGCAAGCGCTCTACCACTGAGCCACCTTCCCAGCCCGGGAATATTTTAATTCATACACTTTCTGATTCCAAAAATGGACTCAATGTTTAGAATGTTTGAACATTTGAACATCAACTACCTCAGCAGAAAAATTAGGGTCTACTCTTCCATGTGGCCTAGAGTCATCCCTGGGAACTGCCAGGGGAAAAGAAGCATCATGCCCAAAGTCTGGTGCTCTGGGGAACAGGGTGTCAGCTGGGGGCCTCTCAGGAGACTCCCAGAATCTCTACCAAGATATGCCAACACTCATTGCTGCCCATTGTGCAGTCCACATGTCCCTTTCTCCCTGTCCATTTGCACACCAGCCCATCACCCCTTCCTTCCACAACGATTTGTAAGGTGTCCCTCACACAGCTGTCCCTTACGTAAGTACATAAATCCCTTCCATAATAACCAAGAAACCAACCTGTGCTACATCAGACAAAGTCAACAAAGTCAAATACATTACCTGATGCTGGAGGCTCTTGCCTGTAATTCTAGCTATCCCACAAGTTCACACCTGGAAGATTACAGATACCGAAATTCTGGGAAATTCCATCTTCAATTAATTAGAGAAATGAAAGCCTGGTGGTATGACTCAAGTGGTACAGAACTAGCCATGACCATGCAAACTGAAAGAGACAGACAGAAAGACACAGAGGAGAAACAGAGAAACAGACATTGGCAGAGACTGACTGAAGAGCAGGAAGAGAGGGAGAGGGAATGGAAGACGAAGATTCAGGAGGAGGGAAGAGGGAGAGAAGAGAAAGGATACGAATGAAAGGGAAAGAATATGAGGAATTGTAATAGGGAGTAAGAAGAGTAGGGAAGGTAGATGGACTGGGGTGGGGAGGTGAGAAAAAAGGGAGGATGCGAAGAGAGTAAAGGAGACACAGAGAAAAGCACTGAGTTCAAGCCCCAGTACCAGTACACATGCACAAACACATACAACAAACACGAGAAAAGAAAAAGCATTGAGAAATCAAGGAAATTCACAGTACTTCCCTCCCCACCACCCTCTTCACTAAACACTGGTCCGTGTGGAGTTCAGGATTCCTCAGTTCCTTTCCTGACCATCCTCCTCTCAGTTGTCCTACAGCATCAGTGTCAGCCCTTTCTTTCAGCAAGATGCCCTTCCTTTACCCTCTTTTGGCCCTCATTGTTTCTCTCATCATAATCCCATCTCATTCTTTCAAGGGAGAATTGCTTCCCAAATGTCCCTGAGCTGGATCTGATTCACCAGGAGCTCCAGCTCACTTCCTTCCACAAATGTCATCAGTCTGCTCTGTAGGCTCAGCCTCTTGACCCCAGAGCACACATAGCAAAGGTCAGGTGTGCCCAACTCCTCCCCACCACACCCTTGTCACCCAAGGGAGGGCAGCATTAGCCCTCAGTAACTCCTCTGTGTGGAAATCTCATGAACCTGGCTGGACCTCCAGTGGTGGAGGGTCACATCCAATCTTACTGAGTTTCTGCTCATGTTCAGAAACAGTCAGCCCAGGCAGGGTCCATCCACAGGCAAAGTCCATCCACGTGTCCATCCACAGGCACCACTATATCTCCATGCTCTCTCAGGTCTCCTGCTTCTTCACAGGTTTCTCCACTTCTACCTGAAAGGTATACTTTGCCAGTCTAACCAGGGGCTCTGGTTGTTCAGAATGTTCTCTTATTTGAAATTCAGCTCCCCCAGCATTCAGAAAATGGTGGGGGTACATGGGGGGAGTTGTAATTCCAAACAACCTGTTAGGTAATAGGGTATCTTTGATTGTAAGCAAATAAACAACTCTGAAATGAGACTCTTGGATGATGGTTTTATGTTAGGATAATGATGAGGTTTAGAGAGAAATCACATATGCAGGAAACTACATTGAGATGGAGGAAACTACAATGAAATTGAGGTAGAAACCACTGACATGGTGCACAGGGTAAATGGAGACAGGTACCTCTCCATTCCCAGTGAAGATTTGCCCTTATGCTCCAACAGAGCTAGTGTAACTAGTGTGCTCAGGAGTTGTCCCCAGTCACCTAGAGACTGATGAAGGAGAAGCAGTCCAGGATGCCTCCTGCCCCTCAGATCCATGGGCTCTAAACCATCAAGCTCAGGAGACTCACTTTAAACCTAAATAGTAAATAGGAAGACAAGCAACATACATGGAAGGTGAGATGCTGACCTGCTGCAGCATTTAGGACAAAAACACCTTAGTGTTGAGGGGACAAATGTGAAAGGTTATTCAAAGCGATAATACTCTTAAGGGACTGATGTGGAAATACTCAGCTCAGAAGGTACAGGCAGCTTGAAGCCACCTCATCTTACCTTTCAGCATTGGAAAGCCAGCACAGTGTCAGCTTTCCTTTCATAGGAAGGAATCCTAGCTGGAGAATTCCCTAGCACTTGTCACACAACCTGGCCATGCTTGCCTGAGACCTCTGCAGTGTGAACTTCCTCCTCTCCTGCAGCTCTTCAATTCGTGTGGGGTGTGGATCCACACCCCACACCCCAGTTAGTCACCCCGAAGGTATGAGTCTGGTGGATTTCAACTGTGCTATTTCAGAGTTCTGCACCCCTTTCTCTGGGACAGCTTTGCTCTCAATCTGTGGACATTACTTTAGGGCCTTCACACAGCAGCAGAGTCTGTGAAAAATGGTGACTATCCTGTTAGCCACCCTCCTCCAGCCCTGTCTAATATTCCAGCTGGGGGCTATGGCCTCCCCCTGTGGCTGCCCAGGGGGAAGGGTATTTTCCACTGAGTGCAAACTCTCTAGTGTGCCTAACAAGCTAAAAGAATCCTGGCCCCACATTAAGCTGGAACTGGAGCTCTGCAGGGTGTAGAAGGGAAGGAAAGGCAGACTGGCACTTCGGGCTCTCTTGAGAGGTAATTGCTCGTCATCATGCAGCTGAAATTCTGAGGACAAGCTGAAGGCATTATGTCGTTCAGAAAAGGCAGATCTTCTTTGTGGAGAGAGAGGACTGGTGGAATTATCCTCGGGAGTTGTGCATGGTGGAAGAGCGAAAGGCATCATTTTCAAGTCCACACTTCTGGCACTCTCTTTTAAGTGTTCTTGGATGACCAGGTAGGTGCCCATGGCTTCATTGAATGCTCTGTCCTGGATTGCCTTTTCAGTGTCAGCTACATTGTACCCCATGTCGCACATGACTGTGACAATAATGGGGTCCAGCTTGCTGGGCAGTGGCTCATCAGGAAGCAGGCCAAATCCCACACCTAGAGACAGCCATGGGTGCTCCATTATTTCCTCAATAGCAGGTCTCTGATTGAAGTCCACAGTCAGCATTTTAGAAAGTAGATCACGTCCCATTGCAGATAGGTAAAGGGGACTAGTATACCTGGCCTCTATGACTTGTATCCGTATGTCGATCAACTTACTCCCCTCAAATGGGAACTTTCCTGTTGTCATCATATACAAAAGCACGCCTAAGTTCCAAATGTCCACCTTGTAGCCATCAAACATTTTATGTAGGAACATTTCAGGAGGTCGGAATATCAAGGCTCCACAAACCCCCTTTAGCAACTGCCCCGGAGTCACCCTGATGCTAATTCCAAAATCACTGATCTTGGCATTGCGACTGGCATCCAAAAGGATGTTGTCAGCTTTCAGGTCTAGGTGTGCAATTCCGTTAACGTGAAGGTAGTGAACGGCACTCACGATCTGTTTGAACAGCCTCCTAGCTTCATACTCAAATAGGCGGCTACAGGGGGATTTATTGATCCACCCCAAGAGATGTCCCCGAGTGGCCAGCTCAGTGACGAGGTACACACAGTTCTCATCCTCCATCACCTGGAACAATCGGATGATGTGTGGATGGCGTACACTCTTAACAATGGCCACCTCATTTTCTATCTCACGGCTCCCCAGTCGTTTCTTCAGGAGAACTTTGATTGCCACTGTGGTGTCCGTGAGGCGGTGATGGGCCAGCTTCACATAGCCACAGCTGCCATAACCGATGATCTCTGTCATGTTGTACTGTCCAATGACAGTGATCTCCTCCTTGGAGGAGGAACTAAAGTTGTACATTAACATCTTTCAGGTGGGATGACAAATGATTAATCTTAACAATTACCTAAGATGAGCTAAATGAAGTTGTCAAGTAATAAATCTTAATAAAAGGTACACTAACAAGTAAATACAAACCTCAGACTAGTAAATGAAACCCCCAAACTCAAACAACACAAACACAGTCCGCCCCCCACCCAAAGAAAGGAACAAAGTAGCTCTGAGTCAGTCCATCAGGTCACCAAGGAAAAGCTCCCAGCGCTGTAACTGACAAAGTTGGAGAGCAGCTGGCCTCTTATGGATCCTGCTGGGCACTCCTCACAATTCCCTATGATGTCAGGAAGAAATGGACCAATCATAAGTCAGGCCATTGACATCAGTGAGGAAGTGGACCAATCAGAGCCTGGCACGCGCACCCACTGGCAGTTATGCACTTGAGCCAGTAGGACCGTTGCCAAGGACACTGGGCACATGGGAAGATGCTGCTACTGCTACCATGGCAGCCATGTGGGGACCACGAGGACATTGGCCAGAGGCCCCTGTGGGGACATCACCCAGTGGAGTCTATCCTTGTACAGAAATTATAACACTTTTCTCACATAACATGATCTATCTCTAATTGCAAGGGAGCCTGAGTTATGGAGACTTTGTAATGATTCTACTCAAAATTCTGTTTCCACTTGAGAAGAGAGGCCAGACATCCACGACTGTCATAGTTTTGTCCACATCTGCCATTCTTATTTCTGGTTCCAGTTTGTTTGGTTTCCTGTGTTTCTTTGTACCTCTTTTTGCTATTTTTGGTTGCTTAATCACTTTTTTCAATCTTTTGTCCCTCTTCTGTACCTAACAGGTTAGAA